CTGTGGGTTGAAACAATCCCAAGGATGGTGCAGTAGAGGATTTTATGAATGGGTTGTGGTGATCAACTGTGGGATGAAGCAATCCCAAGAATGGTGCTGTAGAGGAGGATTTTATGAAAGGGTTGTGGTGATCAACCTTGGGTTGAAACAATCCCAAGAATAGTGTGGTAGGGGATTTTATGAATGGGTTGTGGTTATCAACTATGGGTTGAAGGAATTCAAAGATGGTGCAGTAGAGGATTTTATGACAGATTTGTGGTGATCAACTGTGGATTGAAAAAATTCCAAGGATGTTACAGTAGAGGATTTTATGAAAGGGTTGTGGTGATCAACTATCGGTTGAAGCTATTCCATGTATGGTTTGTAGAGGGTTTTATGAAAGTGTTGTGGTGATCAACTACGGGTTGAAGCTATTCCAAGTATGGTACGGCACTATTGCCAATACTTTTATTCCTTCAACAATAGACTTATGCGCTACAAAACGTGGCATCTCTTGAGTGGTCAAGAAATGCATTTACCATGCAGAGGACAAACCTCATTGGCATTCTGCTATGGAGCTACCATTTATTACTTGATTGTAGCAGACACTGTAAATCAACTTTTGTCTTCTGAGTTCTGCTTCCTGATATTTCCGGCCTGCACACACTAGGCCTGATCGTGGTGAGAGACATTACGAACTCATCAAACGCACAGTGATTAGTTAATAAGTTAGCTCGAAATTGCATCTATCATGTGGTGTTTTACATTATAATTGTTGTTTTTTAGACAGTGGTCTTGGGTCGGTAGAGATCGATGTGGCTATGTGTGACCCAAATCAGTCACTAGCCCAAGGAATCAGTCAATTGGCTGACAAAGTCTAGCCTGGAATCCAGTATTCAGAGTGCCTTTGCCAGTGCATGTAGGTAAGGCCTATTAACACTCAGCCGTCCGGGCCGATTCACTAGTCTATTATTCGTAGATTGTTCAAAGTCTCATGATAATAGACTTTATCTCGTCTAGATAAAGTCAAACTGTTGAATTATCAAGTTGGATAAGTGGTATTATTGTGATGCTTTATAGACAATAAAATAAGTAAAGTTAAATTAAAGATAAATAAGTGAGTTAAGTAATGAAATAAGTTGAATTTAGTAAATAACATGATTCTGTGTATGAATGAGTGTGTCTATTTTCCTGTGAATAACAATGTAAAAGCGTACAATGGCTGTATAGATCATAGGACAAGCTGCCCGCAAACCATTCTTGATTTGTGTCAGAGGTGACAGATCATCGCTTTGTATGGGGGTTGACCTTTAGCATTTAAATCTAGAATTTGTAATCTCATTATCGTAATTTATGACAGTTTCCATGCCAATGTATTGATGAAAGAGCGAAGCTTAGGCAGTACCTGCCTTATATTTCAAATTAGTTTACTTTATAATTAATTCTTCAGTTGTTAAATTTAATCTACGATAAACCTTTCCAATTTGGTTCGGTCCGAGAAAAACAAATCATACCGAATTTTAAGAAATACTGCTTTATCAAAGTCACTGGGGGCTGCAACCCAACGATGACAACCGGATTTTGATGGTGTGTCGCCAAACTAACATCCGACGTTGCTTAGATTGATTCATTAGCTGCGGTCAGCACCCATGTTAACCATTTATTTGATCAGAAGCAACATCTGTTATATAACACATGAAATTTGAAGGAAAACTATAGCTGATTGTTCCAATCCAATGTTTAGATAGTCCTATGTCTTAGAAGGTCTTATGTTCAGAATAACACATTGAAAACATATTCAGTAACTCTATCACATTAAAAAAATTTACAATACAAAAAATATATAGTGTCGTCCACTTCTTTTACAAAGAACTTTTTCTTCTCAGTTCTTAAATATAACAATGTTTTCCAGAAAAAACAAGTAATCCTCACAATTTGACATACAATTAGTACTACATATTCGTAGTTGTAAATTGTCTAACATTGAAATATGCTCTCGTCACAGGTGTTACATATACACTGATTAGAGACATTATGACCGCCTTGCCTTGTGTCCATTATACACGTTGTCAAAATGGAAGCTTGACAATAATAATAACAATAATAATAATAATAGTTTATTACACAGCTGTAATCTGCTGTGGATACAGTACGGTAAAAATACAATTAAAAATAACTACGAATTCAAAATGGTCTAATAACTACAAATAAATCGGAAAGTAATAAAAAATACAGTAAATAAATCAAAGTAAAGATTCTCCTTACCCAGAGGTTTACACAGGCGGTGCTTTGTATATGGTATTTTTAAGATATAGTGAAAGAGCAATGTTATTTTTCATAATTTTTAAAAAGATTATGTACATTTAAGAGCATTGTTCTTTGTTTACTGAAGGTAATTTCACAGTTTTTTCAGTAGGATTTTTCTTTCAATTTCAAAATATGAGCAGCTCAAAAGAAAATGTTTTTCATCTTCATGTCGCCTTGATCATATTTTTACAGACTATGTCTTCTCCTGATAGTTTTGGTTGTTTGCTTCTCCCCAGTTACATTTCCAAAAGCACTTTTGATAACATTCCACGTAAGTTAAAGTTTTTTATTTCATTTTGGCAATTTTCAAATTCATAGTTTAGTTTAAATTGTTTATATGTCCTTAAGTTTATTGCCTTAATTTTTTGTTTTTAATCAGAAGAGAGCTTAACCTGTGGCAGATGGCTAATTCGTATATATGATTACATAACAAATGTAATCTCTGTTAATCTTTATGATCCATCGCTTTGTGTGGGGTTGACCTTTAGCATTTAAATCATTGATTGCGTTTTCTAGAATGATTAATCTCAGCGTAATTTATGTCACTT